ACTTTGGGCCCAGAGATATGGAGTCCACTATCTATGAACTGAGACTTCTGAAACCATGTGCCACAATAAATTTTTCTTCCTCTACATTGTTCTTGTTAGGTATATTGTCATAACAATGCAAAAGCTTACTAAAACATTTATTATTTTATATCTTTTATTTTATTTTATTGATTGTAAAGGAGATTGCTGATTTTGTTTATATTCAAAATATACCCTCGGTTTTGTTTGACTTTTTATTGTTTCTGTGTCTTTATACCAGTATTTCTGCTCTGATATTTCTTATTTCCTCCTCTCTAGTAACTCAAGGCTCAGTATGTTTTGCTTCTATTTCTTTGAGGAATAACATTAGGTCTTTTCTTTGAGAGTTTCCTTCTTTTCGATGTCGTGTTTATTGCTATTAGCTTTCCTCTTGGAATTGCTTTTGCTGAATCCTCTAAGTTGTAGTATGGTATAGAATTTTAGTAGTGTGTCTGTATCATTTTATTTGTCTCATTTTTAATTTCTTTGACCCATTCATTGTTTGGAAGCATTCTGTATAATTTTTGTGTATTTGTAAGTTTTCCAAAATTTATCCTTGAAAAACAGATCCTTGTATAGGAATCAGTAATAAGAGTATAAAAAATAATTTGATATGAAAGAACAATGACGTTCTTTCAAGACTGAAAATTCAATCATGTTTCAAATGTTTAAATTAAAAAAAAAACTTGAATAGATGATGTATTCTGTGCTTCATTGTCATAAAAGGACTCAACCATTAAATTAATAGTTCTGGGCTTTAAGAGAAGTTTCTTCTATGTTACTCAAATAGATTCTAAAAATATAGTTATACTACTTTGAATTCCTTCTAAATTATAACTCATATTTAAAATTGTTAACCCATCTCTCCAAATATGTCTGTATGAAGTCAATGTGTAAGACATTTAGGCTTAAAATATGTGTGTAGTATGATCTCTGTAGCTGCAAGACAATCTTATTTGTAAATGCCCTTTTAAGTCTAAGAAATAGACATGAAATAGAAGAAGTGTTTATTAAGCTAACCAGGACTCCTACACACTGCAAAATTATTTCCCCTCACTCCTCCATTACTAGGCACGAGTATGACTTCAATATATGCTAGCATAGTCTATTATCCGCTGGTCATTTGTGTTTTATACAAACTACCAATCTGCCTTTTCTCTAAAGAAACCAAAGGGCAAGACTGATAAAAATTTTAAAAGTCATAAAATGAGATCAGATATCATGACACATTCTCATGACATCTTGTCAGAATATAAATGTTTTGAAATTATATTACCATTCAATTCTCTTTTATTGTCTTTTAAATTTCTGTATACTTTTGTTTGTCATATTAGGTATTTGCATACATATCACTGGAACATTTCATCTTCTATTCAAGTTTATGCTGATCCAAAGTTCTAATAATTGACATAATTGCCAGATGGAATTTAGTTGCTATATGCTATTATCATTATTTTACAATCACACTGTAATGTGTATTCTGCTCATCTAGATATTGGGGCACAGCATGATTAAATCATTAGCTTAAGATATGCTATGAGTAAACAATTGGAAAAAGCCAATAGTTCTTTAGTAATAAATGTAAAAACAGTCTTCTTATAAAATAGGCAGTTACTTTCTTGTCAATACATTTTTCATATTTTTCTGGTGCTTATCTTGAATACTAAAATGTGAAGAAATCTCTCAGTATAGTCTTTAATGATTTAATCAAGAAAATCTAATGATTGTTACTTATATTTAAGTTAGTAATTTACTCAAAGTGTTTCACAGAGGAGTCAAGAACATATCAACAAACCATTAGCACTTATCAAAATTCATACATCTCAAAACAAAAACAAAGAATAGATGCTCAAACTTCTTGTGAATTAATGACAAACACACATTTACTGATGTTTACCTATTCCTAACAATATCACTGCACTTGACTCCCAGTTGGATAATAGCTTATATTATGCTGAGTAACCTATTATTCCTTTATACTCTAAGTGGAAAAGACAGCTTCTATGCCACTTTAGAGGCACATTGGACTCTACCAGAAATAAGAGATCTAGTTCCATTCTTTTTTGCTTACATAGAAGACAAGAGAACAGAGTACAGTATTCTTTGATCGTAGACTACGTATGAACCCCGTGAAAATATATACCAGAAATTCTCATGTGCTTCCTAGCTTAAGGTTCTCAGACCCCTGTTAGAAAATGGTGGCATAGTTTGGGTTCCAGATTCAGACTATTCCAGTCAAAATCCAGACTCTCTATGCTAAGCTTTGTAAAGAAGGCCAAGTTTCTTAAATTCTCTGACCCTACTAATATTCTTCAGCTATTAAATAGGAATAATAATACTAGTTTTCTTATGGGATTATTATGAGAAGTGAGTAACTTAATAAAGAATGTCCTTATTTTCTCTGTTGCCAAATGCATTAAAATATGCCTTTCTATGGTTTGCTTCCTAGGTAAGTACTATAAATATGTTGCCACAGTTTGTTATTACAAAGGCTGAGGCCGAATGAGAAGTGTGGGGTTCCTTCTTGTCTACGGAATTATATAAAGCCTGTTTACGAAACCTCCTTGATGTACATCATTAAATAATAGACTAAATAAATTTTTATTTTCTTTTACGGATTATCTATATTCTCCTCTTAAAAACATAGTAGGTTGTCTTTCAGTAAGTTAGAGTAGGCTAACGTAAATAAAAGGGAATGKGTGGGCAATACCCTAAAATATCAGACCATTTGATTACAAAGCTTATGTATATTGTGCAGTTACAGGTATTGGAGTCAGTAGCCCTTAATTATATACAGAATTTCCCCACTAGTCAGGATTGTTAGGATGACTGAACTCTAAGAGATGCTTTGGAGTATTCATTCATCTTTAATCTATCATAACATGTGGAAAGAAAACAGAAAAACAAATCTGCCTAATTCCTTTTTTTTTTTTTTTTTTGTAGTACTTGGGATTGAACACAGAGCTGCTGTATCATTGGGCTATATCTCCAGCCCTATTTTATTTTATTTTTGTGACAGTATGTCCTCAAGCATGTGATACTTCTACCTCAGCCTACGGAGGAGCTAAGATTTCAGGCCTGGCTCAAAACTACATGATTCTTCAGATTGTGTATGGTAATGAATAATGGTGATGCAAAAGAAATTTGGAGAAATATAACTGCTTTCATTAAAAAAATGAGCTTTGGGATGAATTCTTTGACTTATGAAATAAATGACAAGCATGTTGGACAAAAATGATTTAGTAAAAACTGGTGATTCCACCATCCAGCTGTAAATTAGAAAGAAAAATGCTGCTATATTTGATAACAGATAAATAATGTTGTGGTAGAGCTCAAAAGGTAGTTCAAGTGATTTGTGCAAATTATATTAATAATTGACTCTCTTGCTCTATGTGCAATCTAAGAGAATAAGTGGAGAGTAAACCAGAGCAATAAACCATCACTATTTATTGATTTCCTATCCCAGGAGATGACCCAAGTCAATGGACAGCAGACATACTCTTGATTGGGAAGGCAGACTTTCAATGATCATATGAAAGAGAAGTACTGCTGTGATCGATAAAGGACCAAGCTGTCTTTATCCAGAGGAAGATAAAGTCCAATTTGAGGGTAGGATCCACAGGGAATTCATGCACAGGGTTAATTGACCTAAAGCAAGATTGATCAGTGTGGTAGATGGCCTGGCCACTCCCAGACAATGCACAGAGAGTTCTTGGGAAATATCACTAACTCAGACCTGACATTCAGCTGCTGTACACTAATATGAGTAGAAATAAATCTATGTCAGTTGGCAATTTAGCTGCAGCACTGAGCCCTGCCGCCACTCTGTTACTCAGGTTCAAAGGGTGAGATATGATGAAAGGGGGTCTGCTATATGACCTACCAGCTTGCTCACTCTTCCAATGGCTATCTKTGGCTCTTGATTACATACAGGTCTCACCAAAATGGGCCTAGATTCTGGAGAATGGAGGTTGAACTTTTCTGCCTGATGTCAATCTAGCCCACTAGATGGTATTTCCCTATACTTTGGCAAACTCTGAAAACCATGACCTCTATAGTGTATTGATCTCCCATTAATTGTTTTGGCCATTCCCCTGCACCAGTCCTCAGATCTCTAGATGCATCATCTCCACACTGGACTAAGAAAGAACAAATAAGTGTTTTTCCTATGTTAATGCCAGAGAGTGAAAGAGAAACAGGCCAAAGTGAAGAGGTTACATAAGTTCACCATTTCTAGTCTCAGTCTAGGACCAATTAAATTAACCATTGTATTTGGAATAACAAAAAACTATGGGAACATTTTTCTCAAATCCCATCCCAAATCCATTTGCAAGCCTAAATAATTTTGGTGACGGTGATTCTTGATTCATAACTTCATCCTGAACTGAATGTTGTGAACAGAAAGAAGAAGGAAATTAAGCATAGAAGGCACTCAGGCCTATGCAACACACACTCTAATGACTTCCAACATCAATTTTATATAACTACAAGGCTTGTTACCTCGTTTAGAGGCCCAAGTTTAATTTGAGACTAACTGTCGCAGCTTGCACAACTCTCAGTAATGAGAGGCAATTTACTCAAGAGCCTTGTTATCCAAGAGCCTTTAAGAGCACATACAACATCAGCAGAGTGGAAGCACTGTATTATTTTAAAAGTTAAAAATGGCACTATCATACTCCCTTCATGTAAAATTTTGTTGATCTATGTTTTCATCAACTCTAACTAGTTAATATAGATTCAGGTCCTAATTCATTAATAAACCATTTGCATGGATCCATTTTAGTTGTGCTTTAGAAATAAATACCACATATTTGTAAATGACTATATGCCAAATGAATAGGACCCTTTGCTCATTGTATCAAGAAAATAACAGCAGGTGATCAGAAAGTGTATCCTTTCACCCAAAAAAGTACCAACTAAATAAATAGCAAATGCAAGGTACAACTTCAAAAGTGGAAAATGATAAGAAAGTGGCACTGTACCTGCTGTAAATCCAGTGTAATTGTCACATAATGGTATTCGATTCCATTCTTAATACTGGGACTCTGCCACCAAGTGTTCTTTCCATCAATAGCATTCGTAATAGGGTGTCTCTCTATTGAGTCAGCAGCAACATGTGAAAGGAAGAGAAAAGAAACTCATATAATGAATCTGTAACTGTTTCTTTGAAGAAAAGAAGTAAAACTAAGGAAAACAATCCTGTAAAGATCAAACTTTAAAAAAAGAGTAATCCATATCTTCTATAGAATTTATCCAGTGATACCTTTTCCATATCTCTGTACAATGTAGTAGGAAATTGCCAAGATCTCAGGCTACACAAGAAGCAGCTGTTCAACACTCCAGCCATCAACTACTACAATGGGCAACTTTGAAGATGACTACAGAAATTAAGGGTCAGGAAATAATACTGAAATCAAATTGATGCATCAGTCATTCAAAAAAGCAAAATCTGTACTGTTTGAGACAACTCTAGTATACCATCAACTTGATTAACAGAAACATAAAATCCTGAACTGTAGTTGAAACATACTTGAACATTTGCTCTTCTGACAAATTCTTTATCACCAGGACTTGGACAATCCAGTATTTATCTGGTTTTAATATAAACTGTTATCACATTTATCCTATTAGATGTTTTACAACAAGTCTTTAGATTGTCATTTTCTACCACTGTTAAAAAATATAGTGAAAGATACCTATGCTTCCCATGCAGCTTTTTTCTAGCCCCGTAAATCACTACTGTAGTGGAAGAATTTAGATAATAATGGCAAACAAAGAGATAATGCATATGAAACTTCATCCAACCAATAAAACATGGGTCTTTCCTCACCTTATTCCACACAGTTGAGAAGACACCCAATTGTGAGAATCAAAAGGAAGACTGGGAATAGCAGGTGAGATATGGACAGCCATGGCCAATCGTACTGTCCTTTGATATGGCTCTCCTTGTTCTTACAAGCTTTGGACCTCAAAGATGCTCATCTCTTCCAAATTAGCTCCACAGATTTTACAGTAGAGCTACCCCGGGCCTCCCCAATCCCCATTACCCTTTGAATCAAAGTCTGAAATCTTTGCTTCTCCTTTTCCAAATAATACAAGCTATGTTTATTTGTTTTTTGTTTTTTTTTCTCTCATCTAAATGGGCCCCATCCACACATGGGTGAGAATGGTGGGAGTTGAGGTTGTTGATGTTCCTGTTTCTAATTTTAAGGCTCTAGTAAAAGTGTCTACATTCCTCACACCTCACTTGGAAGTCAGCACATTTTCCCTCAGAAATGTAAACAAAAGGGAAAAGAGCTTCCTTGGTTTTCTTCCATTCATTATGGTTTAAGTATAGTTGGGGTGTCACTCTTGAGAACTTATATAAAACTAATTATTTGGGAAAATGTTTAAAATTAGTGATCTATGAATAATCCTTCAGATTAAAACATAATCTTTTTTTTAAATTGAAAGACTACCTCAAATAATGAACAAATTACAACACTGAAAGGAGCAATCATGGATTCTCAATTTATCTACATAATGAAGTTATCCAGCCATATATTCTAATGATAATGCTATAGTCTAATGATGAAAGAGCACAAAATTTGGCACATGAAGAGCTGTCATACGAAAAACTAGCTATTCCTCCTGACGCTGCCATTTAGTACTTAACTGACCATGGACAAATTGCTTAAAATCTGTGTCATCCCTAAAATAGGGATAACAAAAACTTCACTCACAGCAGTGGTTTCCAGATTCTTAACTTTCAGACAAGAAGCAAAATTTTTAAAAAATTTATGAGAGATATGTGGAGTTGATATAGGAGTTCAAATTTATTTTTTCAATTATTAATAAATCCTGATCTACTAATTATCATTTAATATGCCATCACTTTTATTTCACAAAATAAAGGACATTTAGAAGCTAACAATAGGGTTTTTGAGGCATTTTTAAAATTTTAATTTGTTATATATGATAGTGGAATGCATTACAATTCATATTACACATATAGAGCACAAGTGATTTTTCATATCTCTGGTTGTACACAAAGTAGAGCTAACAATAGTTTTGAAAAGCCATAAAATCAAAATAAAGGACAACCTGTAATCCCAGGGCTCAAGAGGCTGAAGCGGGAGGACTGCAAGTTCAAAGCCAGTCTCAGCAAAAAACTTAGGTGCTAAGCAACTTGCTGAGTCCCTGTCTCCAAATAAAAGCTTAGTGCCCCTGAGTTCAATCCCCAGTACCCCACTCCCAGCTCCAGAAATGAAAAATTTTTTAAAATGTATCCTTTTGTTTTCATGAAACACATGGAATGCTGTGCTCATTTATTTTACATGTCTCTGACCCRTGAAAACATTTTGTATCCAAATCCTTTACTTATAGGGTTGCTAATGAACTCTATAACTATCAATAATCTAAGCTTATTATGCATATAGATAAAATACATTGTGAATCTGTTCAAAATGTATACCTTACTGAATTTTAGAGACAAATTGCAATTAATAAAAAAATGAACATAATAAAAAATAAAGCAAAACTAATAAGTCTTCCATGCAGTATAAATCAGTAAAATAAAATATCTTTTAAAAAATTCATTAAAAACTATTTATTAAATTTGCCATTTTCAAATTTGTGAAAATTTTTATTATATGTCAATTTTATTTAGGTAGTCTGCTATAACCATCAGTTAAACACACAAAGGCTATGACTTTGTCTTTCTTATGGTATGATATTCACCTTTCAAACATAGATATTCATATTCCAAATATTGTATGAGATGATAGGACACGATAACAACATTCCATTTTTATTGATAAAAATTTAATTCCACTAAGCAGCTGGATGGACTTTATTTTGTACCAAGTCTTATGTCATTAACAGTCCACTGAGATAAGGCATCCTGTCTCATTAATGAAAAGTAAAATTGCTAAATGTATTTAAAAATTAGTGCTAGTTAAATTATGTTTAGCTAAGGAAGAGGTCATCTTTATAACAATAAGCAAATATCAGAAGCATAACTAAATATCAAACAAAAGCTCCTGGTGGTGTGAGTGGGTGCTAAAATTGGCACACCGAAATCAGAACACCAAATGAAATATTGCTGGCATTGCTTGTGAAGAAAAACAAATATCACAGCAAACATTCCCCAAACATCTTCCTGAATCATCTTTATAGACTGTGGGTTTAATATGTGATAGAAAAACATTCACACAACCACATTACCAAATAGAATTTGTGACTCGTAGGTAATTGCGAGAGAGCCTGTCTAATTGGAAATTTTGATATCTGCCACCTCAGGTCAAATTGATATGAGAATTAGTCATGAAAAGGAGGACAGGGAGATGAATCAACAATTAACCATAATCCCCATTATAAAAATTTAATCATAATTAATTTGCAAATACTGATTAATTGCTGGCAGAGTTCCCTTATTTAAAAGGGGATAGAAACATGTAATATCCTCAACAGGGAAAAACTATACAAGTCAACCAAAGGGCTAAACTGCATCTGAAAACTGGCTGGGGATCCAAGGAGGCAGACCACTCAGACTGCTAATTTTTAATTGGGAAGCACAGTCTAGTAATAGTAAGGAAGTTCAAGTTTCATTTTTTATATGATATTAAGTGCAAACTTTCCAGATTTATTCTAGAAGTTCACTGAATTTGTGGAATTTTATCCTTTATAGCTCCAGCTTTACTAACATATGTTCCTGTGGTTTATTACTAGATTTTTATTCTGGTGGGGTTCTATTCTTTCTAAATTCCCAGTAATAAAACATGATTTTGAAATGTAGTAAAGCTGGTCATTTATAAACAAACAATATGAAGAAAATACAGGCTGTGACTAGTTATAAAAAAATATAACACAAATAAGTAAAAATGGGGAGGTACAAAGCAAACCTGGTGTGAATTATGCTATACTAAAACATTGATTCAGTTTTGGCTTTAATTTGAAAACATGGGGTGAAAATGCCTAAATATAGGTATATTCCACTGAGACTCAAGAGACTCTGAATACAGAACTTTGAAGGAAAAAGTGACACAGTAGGTCTTAAACTCATTTTGGCAAGTATATTTCATCTAGTTTCCAAACAAGAGTCTCCATTCAGTTATTTTCCAGTCTAATCTTTGCATTTTTCATCCTGAACATATCAATTTCTTTCTTTGTAGAAATATATATTCATGTATATATAAGGTAAATATATATGTATGTATATATATGGTAAATAAAGGTACTTACCTTAGAAACATTTATACACACACACACACACACACACACACACACACACATGTGAATTTTAATGTTCTTTATCTTTATAATTTCCCCTCTGCCCATCCTATCCTAAACACAAAGCTATGCATTTCTACCATCCCATCCCTATCATCCATTGCACTACGTCTGTATTTCCAGCCTTTCTCAAATTCTGCACAAAATCATTTGTTCCTGAGCTCATAGATGTTTTTCTCCACCAGAATTTACCCTCTTTCCTAATGAAATAAAAACTTATAATCCATCAATTCATTTCTTCTCAAGCCTTTCCTTGGATTTTCTTGACACTTTATTCTTCCGTTTCACTTTCTCTGTAATGTTGCATGAAAATCAGTCCAAATATTTGCTACTGCCTTTTTACTCTATATGGAATTCTCACCTTATTCTCATTATAGCTCAATGGTGTCTATCTCCTAGGAAGCTAGTCTGAATTTTTACTTATTTCCTGAGCAGATAACCCAGATCCACATCTTAAAAAGGAAATAAGATCATCTAGTAAGAATTTCCTCCCAACCACTCTTCTATCTGCCACTATGCATCCTTCCTTTTATTCTAACTTGGTCAATTAAAAAGGTATATATCTCCTCATTTAGGCTTTTATATCTGTGCTTAATGATCATCTCTCCTCATCTCTTAAGAGACATCACCTTCAACATCATTTTGTTGACAACTTCCCTCACTTTTCCCTGTCACCTCTAAAACCAGCTCACCTGTTTACTGTCTTTGAAAACCTTTCCAGCACCATATACTCCACTGTAAAACCCTCTATTATCTTTATATCAAGAATACTTGAAAAGACTATTCCTACACTCCCCTTTTGTCCTCCTTATTAATTTATGAACTCTTCAATGTTGTCTTTGCCACCGTGAGTCCACTGACTCTAACAAGATGGCCAGCAGATGCCTGTGTTGTCAAAATCTAGGAAAACCTATGTTATCCATGTTATGCTTTTCTTGCTCAGTATCTTGGAAGCAGTTAACACTATACATTACTCTTTCTTCCTGAAAATTTCTTCTTAATATACATGATGCCTCATTCTCCAGATTTTCTTCCTTAAAATCTGTTTATCTTCATCCTCTCCTAGATTCCACTTAACCATTTCCTTGAGCCTTCAATGTTTCCCCAGGGGTCTGACATAAGTCTTTTGCTCTTATCATACCACACAAGAAATAGACAAACATGGGAAGTGTGCTGTGACTTACCAGTCTGTTCCCATACCATACCAACACAGACTCTAGAAATCAACTAAAGTCCATCATAGCAAAGAAAGATTTCTGATGGTTGCCCTCTTTGGTGTCTTAATTTTTTCTAACATTTTGTAGTATATGAGACCATCAGTTTTAATCATAAAAGTAAAAATATATTAATAAATATTATATCAAAATATTTAATGATTTCTACATCTCTAAATTAACTATTATAGAGAGAATTATGCATTCTTCTCTTTAACTCTATCAAAAAGGCACAGTGCCTTCCAATTTCCTTTCTGAGATTGAAAAAATGCAAATTGTGAGAGAAACCTTTAGTCATTTGATAAGCTTAAAAATTCAGCAATGGATCTACTCTGTATGATACTAAAATGGTAATGATAAATACATTTCATTACACATTTGCCCAAAACCCATAGAACATATCAACAGGAGGGAGCCCTACCTAATGTAAACTCTGAATTCTGGTAATAATGATGTGTCAATGTTATAAACAAAAAATTACCACAATAGAGGTAGATATTTATAATGGAGAAGGTCAGGCATATATTTGGGGCAGAGGGAATATGGGAATTTTTCTGCATACCTGAGTCTGTTCTAAAAGTAAACACTATAAAAGAAAGTTAAAAGGTACATTTAACAAATTTAAAAATAATATAATGATGAAGCTTTATCCCAAGTTTTTCATCTTAACTCACATCAATTGATAATAAATATTTAGTTTATTAGCTTCTCTCCTTTCTATATAAATTGATACAGATAGGTAGATGAGATATACGATTTTCTAATGCATATTTATAAATGAACTTTCAACTCTAAAATTATCTCATACCATTCTTCCCTTTGCCATACAAATTCTTTACTTGTTAAGACACAGTTCTCTGAATACTTCTTGCTGTTTTATACCTCTAAGACTTATATATGCTTTTCCTTTTCTAATGCTTTTCTCTCATCTAATCTTACTACTTTGTACCTTCTGAGAGTATGAGTCACTGTCTCCTGGAAATCCTTCAATGACCTTGGCATCTACATAGAACCTACATATTCCCAGTTTATGTTTCTCTTTCCTGTTTCCCCTTCAAGTTCTCTAAGTCAAGGACTACATATGATTAAGCATCATGTTCCAGTATAAGACATAGGTAGAAGCAGCATTTAAAAGCTTGTTGAACAAATACACTAAATTATCTGAGGTGTCAGTATGGTTCATAGAGGTAACCGAGTGGGTTTTCCATGCACAAACAATCCTGTTTGTGAGACCCTTGGTAATCTGTTTCCAGTCTTTTATGTTTGACTCATCTCTATTCTCTGCCCTTTGACACTTTCAGTTCTACTCATTCCTAACTACTGGTAGCTTCCTGAACAAGTAAATTTTTTTGTCTTATTCTGATTTCTTTTCCTAACCATGCTTTTTTTTTTTTCTTCCCCTCTTCCCTCTTCACCTACTCAGCTCATACTTGTCTTCTTTGCCAACATGGTTATCACATCAGGTAAGCCTTCACCTATATCAAGATTGAATTTCTGAGCCTTTTCTCTCTTCTTCAGGGTCCTATACTCCTTCTTTGTACTTATTACACTTCATAGCAGTAGCCATTGTCTTGCCCACTGACTCTCTTGTTGAGGCTAAGACTACTCCTTATTCCCAGTAGAACTTAACCATAGTACCTGACACACCAGCAACCAATGAATAACTAAAGTCTCCATGAAAAATCACATCCTCTGATACCATTCTGGAGCCAGGAAACCCAATGACTGATTTAGTTCTTCAGCTAGAAAATTCTCTTCAGCCTCTTTGCCTGCTACTTTTAAAAAACCCCAAGACTTTAATTTTTGTTGAATGACAGAAGAGGGCCATATACAGGCTCACATTGAAAAAAAAAGATTTTAATAATTCTTAGAATTATAAGCTCTTTTAATTTCATGGAACGTGCTCTTAAAATCTCTCAAAAATATATCTTACTGAGTGAAAACAAATACATGTGAAATACATACGGTATGGATTACTGCTGTTTTGATTGCAGATTCGACACTGGGGGTTCCGTACAGGCTGCCCAGGGACATGCTCTACCAACTTGCAATACATTTCAGGTCCTCTTTCTCCACATGTCGCATTGGTTGTGATGAGGGCATTGGAAGCAAGATTCAGGACAGCAGGGAATAAACCTGAAAAAGATAGACAAATGAAAGCACGTGAGCCAGTTTTGATTTTGCTGTATTTTAAAATGCTTAATTAACATGGGATATTTTTCAGAGCATTAAATTAATCCAAGATGAAATATTTAGTTATAATGATATACCTGACAATAAATACTGCATGTTATCAAAGGAAGAGATATTTTTTTTCTTTCCGGGTCTTAAATATGGGAATATGAGGCTGTCTATTTAATTTTTAATCTCTAATATTTAATTATAAAGAAGGTCTTGTCACAGACACTTTTAAGTAATACTTTTCATTTGATCAATAAACTATCTTACTGAATCTGAATCTTCCCCTTCAGTTATTTTATATCTAGTATTAAACTATAATCACATGTAGTTTCTGCACAACAATGCACCTATGGTTCTCATGCTCACATTATGCTCCAATTATCACTTGGTGTAAATGGTTGTTACAACTTCTTTATGTCCACACTAAAAAAAATAGATAATGATGAAAGATATTGGAAAACTGTCCTTTACTGATTTCTGTGCTACACAATACCTTTCMAAAAATGAATCATCATAATAGTAAATGTTCATATACCTGAAAATATTTCTTAGCTACAATAAAATGTTTGACTTGCATACATACAAACTCAAAAGGCCAACTCATTGTAAGGCTAGAGAGCCTTCCTTCTATCTGAGAACCCAGTGCAGGTCCTTCCGTTTCTATAACTTAATGTCAGTTCTGCTTTGTACATGTCTAGTATTTGCATTTTATAGACCTCTTTTCCATGACAGCGCAGTAAAGTGACTCATCAAAAGCCACTCTATAACTGAAAAACTCTTGTTGGAGGAAATCAATTGGGAATTAAGATAATCTGACTCAATTTATGTAAGTAACACACTGATCACTTAGGTTGTCCAAGTTCTATGCATGTGCCAAGTAGGTCTATATCAGTTCAACTTCTAATACTGTCTTTCTTGACTAAATCTATGGCCTGATGTTTTACTGATACCCTTAAAGTTTTAAGCTTTTAAATTTTTTCAGCCTATTCTCAGGACTTGGCACAGAAAAGCCACTCAGTGTGTTTGTAAAAGAAATGAATAAATGACTTATGATAACAATCATGATAGTTACTTTATAATACTTATGTATAATAAGTCTATGAGCAATATGAGCTATATTTACTTTTATTTTATTAAAGAAGCACAGGGTATTAAGCAAATGGCTCAGGATTACTATTAACAGAGCTGTGCTTTGAGGCTAAGCTTTCTGGCTCTCAAGCCTGTCCTCTTAATCATTACACAGAACGGTATCTTCAATGCAATCTGAAACCTACATAAATCTAGTGCTCATTAAAACTCGTGATCTTGATTGATCTTGGAATTGCACTGAAACAATAAAAGACTAAAAAATAAATCAGTGTTTATAAAATTTGATGAGATGTATATGTATTTTTATTTGATCAATAAAGCTTCCTTTCAACCAGAAGAGCAAAAGCAATGATAGAAGAAAATTTAAAAACAATTTTAATTACTTTGGATCTTTATTGTAATCATTATCCAAATTGTCTAATCAGTAAGTGAATTCATAAGGCCAGGAAGCACTTCAGTTCTTTTCTCAATCACCCTCAGGATCTCCCAAATCTATACCCAAGAAATCTTCCCTCCCTGTCTGCATTTTCCAGGCTCTAAGATCTCTCTGATTTTCCCTTCCAGCACAGCAATCCCTCTCTCCTTAATCCTCTGGCTTTGTGCTTTTCTCCAGCTAATAATTATTTGAGGTTTCCAATTCTTCCTGGTTTGCCAGGAGTTCATCACTTCCTGAAATTTTTACTTAATTTCTGTCTCTTTCATTCTCCCTAATGAATTTATCCCTCCCCACAATTTCTATGCTCTCTGACCTCCACACAGTGAGACATGCTACAATGAGATGTGAGGTCAACTAAGATGATCATTGGTCAGAGAAATGTTATCCATTCATAAAACATTATTTTTGTTTGTTTGTTTCATAATAAAGCATAATGTGCTATGCAAAAAGCAAGGTGCTTGTATCTTAAATATCACCCAAAGGCCCATGTGCTAAGGCGTGGTGCCAGCCTATGACACTACTGGAAGGTGATAGAAGATTTAGGAGGTAAGTCATACTGGAAGGGAGTTAGGTCACTTGGTGTGTGCCCTTGAATGGGATATTTGAACCTCAGCACTTTCTCTCTCTCTTTTTTTCTTCTTCCTGGCTACTAGGAGGTAAGCAACCTTATTCACAGTATGTTCCTGCTGCTATGATATTCTGCCCAACCTCAGGCCCCAAAGCAGCTGGGTCAACCATGGATTAAAACATCAGAAATTGTAAGCCAGAATAAATTTTTGTTCTTTAAGTTTATTTTCTCATATATTTGTCACAGCAATTAAAAGCTAACTAACAGTGCTATATAAAAATTATCTAGTATTTATTTTATTTTTACCTTTTCTATATAGACTAGATTTATTGAAAAATTTCATAACAATTTTGTGAATTTTGACAGGTTGTAAATTTAAACTGATTTTTATAATTATATAGTCTCCAGGGCACTATTTCTTTATTGTAGACACTTTTTTTTTTCTCTAGGTTAGTAAATAATATATGATCAAAAAAATAAGATTTGTGTGTATATCTCTGTCTTCTGTCATTCATCACCATTTTACATTTAACTATATAATTATCCTTTCATCAAATATGTTTGAGAACATATTATGCCAGAGAGTAAAATTTGGAATTATTAAGATGAGCTTATTGTGGGAGTTTATGTTGAGCTAAATATTGAAGATAGAGAAGTTTATCTGGTAGCAAAAAGGTAGAAAGGAGAAAGCAAATGTACCCTGTATATGGGCTTTATGCTAAAAGTTTGTGTGAATGTTGAGTACTTCAATTTGCAGTTGTTCTAACATGTAAGATTATGTAACTTTATAGATATAGAAACATATAGATTACACATAGAATACACCTAATGGTTCACACACATACCAACACAAACCACAGCCTATATGTCACAGTTACCTTTTTGTTTTAGTCACTATTTTTTTCCAATTCTTTAAACACTTAATTTATGGTATAGAAAAAATAGGTAATAGGAATGAAGAGATGCATTAAGCCTTATGTTCTAAGGAGGATAAATACTCTTCTTCTCATCTTAGTGATCATAGAACAAGCTCCAGTCATAAACTCCATGTAGACCCTTCAAAGAAAACCAGCTTACCCACATAAAAGCCATCTCCAGCAGCTGGGGACGTCTCTACAACTTCCCCAAGATATAGTCATTTTGACTCTGTGATCTCCTCCTTTACCACTGACAAATCCTGACCTTTCCCATGACTTTGCAGGAATGGATGACTCCCCATAACCTGGTCTGGTGCAGTCCTACAGGGCCTCATTTGAGATGGTCAAAGTACTTTCCCTGGTCCAAGCAGTCATGAGAGCAAACCAAAAGAAAGATACCCACCCAGCAGAAACTATTTTACTTGCATTTTATGTTCAGAAAACATAGAATTGGATTACATCTCAATTTCCCCATATGAATAAATGAATAAAATGAGAGCAAAATGATCCAACTACAAAAGGATTACAGATATTGAAATAACATTGATTCAGAAGCTATTTTATGTTCCTCATATTATTTAATATCCCAATCATCCCACTGTGTAAATCTTATTAATTCTACTTTAYAGAAAGTGTAGATAAATAATGTGGAGAAAGTTCAGCTTGAGAATATGAGTTGAACTCAGCTGTTTAAAAAGCTCAGAAGACTTTTTTTTTTCAGGACACAATGATGATCCCAAAACCTGGTTCTCTATAAAGCTTAGCAATGTATATATTTAATTAAATAAATTACCTATTCACCACTCCATTGTTCCATTGAGTTTTCTACCCATAAAACTAAAGTTCTTAAAAAAAACTTACATTTGGTATTTTTCCCCTCTTTCTGTTGATATTTTTTTCTATTATACTTATTGATCACTTGCTCAAAACTAGCCTTTTCACAATTTAGTTGCCTTGTATCGTGGTCAGAGAATAGTTGCTTCATGAAATTTTATCACTATTTTCCTGCTTATTTAAAAAATCAATAAAGTATATTGGTCAGGGAAAGTCCTCAATTAGTTGAAAATGATCAATTTAACAGTCAGTCAATATCTCAACTTTTGCTGAAGCTTCAACATGCAATATTATAGATTGCCATCATTTTCATTATATATAAAATCTATTAGGGTGTACCTATTTATTCCCATTCAAAAGCATTAGACCAATATTTATTGCCATATTCAATCTAGGTTACTTGTTAAGATTATGTAAGCATTAGAAGTGTAAATGAACTACAGATAACTGATGAACCTTTACAGAGTATTAATGCATTGCAATCAGTTTGAGGTCTTGTAATGTTAATGACCGTACAACTATGATTGACATTTTTTAAATACAATTACACTAAATTTAGTTGGATTTATGTTTATGAAGAACCAACTCTGGAAAAAATAATATTTATTCTCTCTGCTATATATAGTGATTAGAATACATTCACTCTTCATAAAATATTTTGTTCTATTATATATGCATATATAATAGGCACACATATTTCTATTTACATATATGTACATGTATACACACATATGGTAAATAGAAAATTTAGGAAAATGCCAAATCAAAATTAGGGGAAAAACAGAAATTATATTACAACACAGTGAACACTTAGAAAATTCACTAAATTTTTACTGATTTTGCTTGGATATATTTATAGTCTATTTGGGTGTTCAAATAATATAGTATGTTCATACATGTTGGCATGATTTTGATCATCTGCATTGTCAAAATACCATATTCTAGTTTCAAACAGAAGAAGCATTTTTAAATCTATTCATGGAACTTCTATTTATAAAAATTGTGAAGCAGCTCCTATTTGATCAAAGTTCCCAAAGATAAAAGCTGCAGATTCTGATATCCCTTCCTTTCCTCTCTCTTTCTCAGGCTCTCTCAGTCTCTTTCTCTCTCT